CTGCGGTGGCCGGGAGCGGCCACTGCACTCCAGTCTGGGTGACAGAGTGAGACTCCAACTCAAAAAAAAAAAAAGAAAAAAGAAAAATCCTGGTGTTTACGGATGTGCGCACCTTAAAGAGGTAACCGATAAAAAGGAAAAGACAAGGCAGTGATTATTCTGCCAACCAAGATGGGACACCTCAGGTGGGAATGGGGAGCCAGAGAACTTATCTAGGTGGTGGGAGTGGGGAGAGTTATTTATTTATTTATTTTTAGTCGGAGTTTCACTCTGTCACCTAGGCTGGAGTGCAGTGGCACAATCATGGCCAATGCAGCCTCGACCTGCTGGGCTGAGGTGATCCTTCCACCTCAGCCTTCCAAGTAGCTGGAAATACAGGCGCGCGCCACCACCCTCAGCTCATTTTTTTTATTTATTATAGAGAGGAGGTCTTACCAAGTTGCCCAGGTTGGTCTAGAACCCCTGGGCTCAGGCAGTCCTCTCGCCTCTGCCTCCCAAAGTGCTGAAATTACAGGCATGGGCCACCACACCCGACTGGGGAGTTCTTTTTGTAGCAGTTCACAGAGCATGGTATTCAAGTTCTGTTTGTTTTTCTGTATGGTGAGCTATCTTCGATATTATTTCTTTTTTTTTTTTTTTTTTTTGAGTTGGAGTCTCACTCTGTCACCCAGACTGGAGTGCAGTGGCTGTTCCCGGCCACCGCAGCCTCGACCTGCTGGGTTCCAGCGGTCCTTCCGCCTCAGCCTTGCAAGTAGCTGGAACTACAGGCGCGCGCTACCACACCCGGCTAATTTTTGACTTTTTGTAGAGATGAGGTCTCGCCAAGTTGCCCAGGCGGGTCTCAAACCCGCGGGCTTCGGCAATCCACTCACCTCAGCCTCCCAAAGGTGCAGGATTACAGGCTGAGCCACCAAGCCCTGCTGATGTTATTTCTTGACCTGGGCTATAGCCTGAGTTATAATTATTCTTTAAGATATATATGTAAGTGTATGTTTGTGTTGTGCATTTTTCTGTGGATTTATAGTTTACAATGGTAAAAATGAAAACAGCACCAGGCGCATTGGTTCACACCTGTAATCCCAGTGCTTTGGGATTGGAGTCTATTGAGGTGATAGGATTGCTTAGGGCCAGGAATTTGAAAGCAACCTGGGCAATGTAACAAGACTCCATCTCAATGTTTGTTGTTGTTGTTTTTTGAGTCGGAGTCTCCCTCTATTGCCTGGCCTAATTTTTTTTGTTTTTTTAATTTACTGTAGAGATGAGGTTTTGCCATGTTTCCCAGGCTGGTCTCGAACTCCAAAATTCAGGCAATCCTCTCGTCTCTGCCCCCTAAAGTTCTGGGATTGTAGCCATGAGCCACTGCACCTGGCCTACAAAAAAATAAACTGGGCATCATGGCACATGTCTGTACTCCCTGCTACTTGTGAGTCTGAAGAGAGAGGATCACCTGAACCAAGGAGGTTGAGACTGTGGGGAGCTGTGATTGGGCCACTGCACTCCAGCCTGGGTGACAGAGTGAGACCTTGACTAAAAAAAAAGAAATTAGCTTATCCTTCCAGGACCAGTCTTTATGCTTTGGCTATTTATCTAGAGTCTATGGGAACAGTATACAATATTTATATATATATTTATGTATATATGATTGATTGATTGAGTTGGAGTCTCACTCTGTCGCCCAGGCTGGTGTGCAGTGGCACACTCACGGCCACCACAGCCTCGTCTGGTTGAACTCAGGTGATCCTTCTGCCTCACCCTTCCAGGTAGCTGGAACTACAGGCATGCACGACTAATTTTTTCTTGATTTATTGTAGAGACGAGGTCTCGCTAAGTTACCCAGGTTGGTCTCAAACCTCTGGGGTCA